TTTGTTCAACAAATATTTATTGTGCCCTTACTAAGTGCTTATGGAGCATGGGGACACACTAGTGGTGAACACAACAGACATGGTCCCTGCCCTCATAGAGCTGACAGTCTGTGGAGAGAGAGGCATTAACGAAGTAAACACACAAAATGCAAATATAATAACAAGTTGCAATAAGTGTCATAAGGAGGAAAAATGGGATGCTCTGGAAGGGAATAATAGAGTCCTTCTTTAGAGAGGGTGGTCAGGAAAAGACTTTTGGGGGAAGGGACATTACCATGGGGACAGAAAGAAGAGTGGAAATTAATAGAAGAGTGGAGGGGAACAAGGTTCCTTTCCTGGCCCCTAACGGGGATGGCATGGTAGGCAGGGCCAAGGCATTAGAGCCTTCTGTACCACTGAAGGGTTTTAAGTGAGGTGTTGATCTGGTGTACATTTTTGCAGATTCCCCTGGCTGCTATGTAGGAACTGGATTAGAGCAGGAGCAAGAATTCAAGCTGGGAAACCAGTTAGAAGGTTTTTACGGAAGGACAGGAGAGAGATGACAGTGATTGGTCCAAGGTGGTGGAAGAGGAACCTACAGATTAAAAAGAGTCTCAAAAGACGTATCGATCAGCTGCAATGTATGGACCTTATTTGGATCCTGATTTATTTTTTCAATTGTAAAAAAAAAAGAAATATCACTTATGAGACAATTGGAAATTTGAACACAGGGTATTATTAAGGAATTATTTTTAAAATTTTTAGGTGTTTCGGTAGGTTTCCCACTATCCTCACTTCAGGAGTAAAGAGTTGGAAATTATCCAAAAGATAATTTAGAAATATAAACTGAGATATTAACGAATGATTATATATATAGCATTTTGTTATATTTCATTATAGTTTTTGCTGTACAGATATTTACATCTGTATTTTCATAGTTGGGATCATACTTTAAGTCCAGTTTGGTATTGGAGCAATACTTTTTAAAAGTTTAAAGTAACACAGTATACAGTGTTGAGGGGCCCTGGGACAGTAATGCCACCAAACACAAGGACACTTTAGAGAGTTAAAGGCAACAAGAGCTGTAAACCTGGATTGCTCTAGAGAGGTGAGGTTGCCGGCCTTAATACTTTGGTTGCCTTATTAATTTTTCAGAAATTGCATCTTGACACATTTGTTTGATTTTCAAAGTAACAAAGACTTACTCGGGAAATCATACTTGGGAGTAAGGCTCTTGCCATCTCCACAATCACTCAGTTATCTCTTCTTCCACAAGGGCTGAACTCCCCTTTTTCCCATCCTGAGTTGGATGGCTCTCTCTGTGGTTCTGAGGCAGTGGTTCTCAAGGCTGCGGGGTGGGGCAAGGTTGAGATTTTGCTTCTCCATACCCCTCTCCCCCAAGGGACATTTGGCAATGTCTGGAGACACTTTTGGTTGGCACGACTGGGTTGGGGGACGTGCTGCTGGAATCTAGTGAGTAGAAGCCAGGGATACTGCTCAACATCCTACAATGCACAGGACAGCCTCCCTTTGGGCACTGTACTCAATCAGTTGATAAGCATGTCATTCATTCAACATTTAACAAATATTTGTTAAGCACTTATGATGTACTAGCAGTGTTCTATAGTTACTAGGAATGCAGCAATGAGCAAGGCAGAGTCCCCGCTAAAATGAAATTTATTCTCATAGGGGAAGACAAACAATAAGCAAGGATACAAGATGATTTCAGACAGTGATAAATATGAAGAAAATACAAGTGTAATGCAATAGGGAATATGATGGGGCAGGATGACATTAGGTAAGGCGAGCAGGTGACAGTGGAACTAATGATGAGACTGAGGCAGCCATGAAAAGCTCCAGGCTCGGGGGAAGAGTGATCCAGACCTAGACAGCTGTGACTGCAAAGATCCTGTGGCCAAAACAGAGTGGCCCTTCAACGAAGACCAAGGGGAGGGCCCGATCACTTATGCCATGGAAAAGTTTGGATTTTATTCTAACCGCAATCGGAAGCTTGGTAAAGCTTATGTTGTTAAAAAATCCCTCTGGCTTCTTTGGGAGAATGTATGAAACATCTACTGTATTCAGAGTCTAAAATACTTGTTATAAAAAACTGTCGTCGCATTCTCAGCTCTCTCTTGTCAATGGGGGAAACCTCCAAATCCACAAGGGGGCGCTCAAGGCGCCGGGTCGACAGACTGTAACGCTCAGCACTCTTTGGTTCTTTTAGAGAGGTCGGTCGCTTCCGGGAGCGGCCGCGTCGCCCGGCGCCTTCCTCTCTATCCGTCCGTGTCTGTGGTCGCCGGGCGCTGGGGCCCCGCCCCTCTCCGGCTGGCCGCGCGCTCTTTGGACTCTGCCCAACGCGGACGCGAGGGCAGTGGGGCTCACGCCGGGCTCGGATCCCGGGGCATGGCGGTCTCGGGGCTCGCGCCCCGGGCTGGCGCCAGGTGAGCAGGGCGGCTGGGGAGGAGGGCCGGGCCTCGGGGCGTCCTACTCGGGGCTGTGTAGGGAAGGGGCTCAACTGCCTTCTGCCCTTGTCCGCGGCCCTGGGGGAGCCCCCTCTCCGGCGAAAGAGGAGCTCCCTTCGAAGGGGCGCCCACCCTTCGCTCCCATCCAAGGCCGCCCTCCGGACTTCGCCGGAACTTCTGCCGTCCCCTGCACTCTGGGTGTGGGGTCGTCTCCCTCGGAACTGGCTTTTTTTTTTTTAAGACCTCAAGTGCACAGAATTGAGTTGATCACCCTTCTCAGTTCTTGGCACACTGTGGGCCAGTGCAAGGCCTCCCTTGGGTTTTATTATCTTCCTCCCTTGGTTTCTTATTCTCCATCCCATTTCACTCCCCTTATGATAGACACCCATTCTTGTGTTAAAAGAGTGTCTTTACAGCCCACCTTACATAAGTTTGCGTATATGTCACCTTGAAAAATAGATAGTTTTTGAATTCATGTAAATGATAATATGCTTTGATTTTTAAAAGCCTTTTTACTCAACATTGTGGTGTATTTTGTGTGTGTGTGAGGAAGATCAGCCCTGAGCTAACATCCATGCCAATCCTCCTCTTTTTGCTGAGGAAGATTGGCCCTGGGCTAACATCTGTGCCCGTCTTCCTCCACTTTATATGGGACACCGCCACAGCATGGCTTGACAAGCGGTGCTACTGCCTGTGCGTGCCTGGGATCCCACCCGCCCCGCCTGAGCGGAGCGCCCGCACTTAACCGCTACGCCAGGGGGCGGGTGCCTCAACATTGTGTTTTTGAGATCATCTATGCTATACTAATCTAATTTCACTTCTGAGTGCTGCATGGTGCTACCCCAAGTGCGTTAGACCCCATTTTCCTTATACGTTCCCACTAATGATGGACACTTAGATTGCTTCCAATTTTTAACCGCCACAAACCATACTGGCACTTGTCTCCTTGTGGATATAGGTGATTTTCTCTGGATTATCCATCCCAGGGTAGGGTGCTAGGACATACCTAATTCTGCTCGATTGTTCTCTGGACTGGTCACACCAGTTTGTACTTCCCAACAGCATTGCATAAAGGTTTCTGTTTCCCCATAGGCCCCCAACATTTGGTATTGTTTGGTTTTCTAATGTTTATCAATCTGTTGGGTATAAGGTGGTCTCTCATTGTGTTAATTTTCATGTATTAAGTGTTTGGGTTTCCCCTTTTCTGAAATGCCTATTTATATCCTTTTCCCACTTTTCTGTGGATTTCCTGTCTTCCTGATTTTCAGGAATTCCTTGTATGCTCTAGATTTTAATTCCTTGTTGGTTTTATATCCTGCAAATACCTTCTCCAAGTCTTTTAATCTGTGGTACTGCTTTGAACAAAAATGTTTAATTCTAAATTAAATCCATTCATTTTCCCTTTTATAGTTTGTGTTTTTGGGGTCTTCTTTGAGAAATACCTTTCCACTATATCTTCACTAAGATATTCTTCTATATTTCCTTCAATTAACTAGTGTTACTTTTCACATTTAGATTTTTAATCCATTGGAGTTTTTTAAATTTATTTTTGTAAATGATTTGAGGTAATGACCTAAATTTTCCTCCACCATTTTCAATTAATAACTAATGAATTAAGAATTAAAAATTAGATAAGCTGTTGAGCATAATTAAGAGCACAGATTCTTGGAGCCAGGCTGCCTCCTAACCAGGTGGGTGGCTAGGCAAGTTACTTAACCTCTTTTGCCTCAGTTCCTCATCCATAAAATAGGATATAGTCTCCATCTCTTAAGGTTGTGACAATTAAATGAATTAATACATGTAAAACACGTGTAGAACAGTACTGGGCACACAGTCCATGCTTAATAGGTGTTGACAGCTATAAGTATTAGTATTAATATGTCCTTTCTTATATAATCTCTATTATGTGCTCATGTAAATCTAGGTGTATTTTTTCTTTTTAGTTTCTTTGTTCCGTTGGTCTTTTTATTCCTGTGTTAATACCACACTTTGTTTTTCCTCCAGCCCTGTAATATGATATGTCTTAATAATCTGATGGTTTGGGTCTCTTCCTCCTCATTTCCTATTCTTCACCATTGCCCTTAGCTATTCATGGACCTTTATATTTCCATATAAAGTTCCTCAGAGAAGTCCTACTTTTGCTTGTATTATATTGAATTTATAGACTACTTTTGTTAAAATGAGGTCTCTATAATGTTAAGTCATGCCACCTCTGTCTATTTAAGTCTTTCACATCCAATAATAGAGCTTTTTGTTTTTCCTCCAAAATGTCTTATACATTCTTTTTTAAAGTTAATCCTTGGAAATTTTATAGTTTTTCTATACTTTTCTTACTTTTCTAAATGATGTCTTATTTCCTTTATGTATGCCACTTGATTATTGTTGGTATTTTGATATTTGATATTGATATTGGTATGTTAACCCTATACTAGCTGAACTTGTTTTATTTCTAACATTTTGTCTACTGATTTGCTGTAAATGATCACGCCATCTGCAGATAATGACAATTTAATCTCTTCCCTTTACCTCATTTTTTTTTTTCTTGCTTTATTCCTTTATCCAGAACCTTAAAATCCTTGCAGTGGGTTTCCTTGTCTTGTTTGTGACCATGAAGAGGATGTGGCCAAAGTTTCTTCATTAACTATGTTTTTTTGCTGTAGATTTTTGGTAAATTATCTTTTATATCATTTGTCTACTTAAAGAAATTCCTTTCCATCCCTGGTCTGTTTGCAGCCTACCATCTTCAGCATTCGTAAACTGTTCTATCTGCATGGCCTGGACCTTCCACAGAACAGTGTGATAAGCTTGGTAACTACTCTGTAAGGCTTACCTGCCCTCTTAGGTTTCTCTCTGTTTCTTCTGCTTTTCCTCAGGCCCATGTTAGATCTGCGATTTCTCCAGCGGTTCCTACAGATACAGAAGGTTTTGTTTCCCTCTTGGTCGTCACAGAATGCCTTGATGTTCCTGACCCTTTTGTCTGTGGCCCTACTGGGTGAGTGTGTGAGCCCAGGCTAGAGGGGGAAGGGCAGCCCTGGTTTGGGGTCTCTTTCCTTCTCTCTGGAGTGTTGATGAGGCAAGGACTCAGGAGGAAGCCTCCCTCCTTTTCTCGCCCGTCGTCACTGCTGATTTCTGACTCTTCTCCTTCCCCCAGAGCAACTGGTGATCTACCGGGTTGGCTTGATCCCCAGTCAGTACTATGGGGTCCTGGGAAACAAAGACTTCGATGGGTTTAAGACCTTGACATTCCTGGCTGTCGTGCTCATTGTTCTCAACTCCATGGTAAGGTCTTCTCCCTGTATCTCTTCTCCTCTCCAGCCTAGTAGGAGTGGAACACCCAGTGGGACTTAGCCACCGGGAAGCAGGAATCAAGCTGTGGGTGTGCGTTCCCTCCCTTTTTGGGGAACTTGAGGTCAGAAGCCTAGGCAGGACATTGATCTTGCTCTTTGGCCCACTTGGGACCAATTCCTCTGGTGTTTGAAGCTCCCAGGACTAGGCCACGAGGTTCTGGTTTAATTCAGCATTTAGTGGAAATGATCATTGTCCCTCCCATTCCCAGAACTCTTGCTTCAGGGAGCTCAGAGTGCTTAAAAACTGGGATCAGCAGCCAGAGTGGCTCTTCCTGCTCTCCAGGGCTGAGGGTGTGACTCAGCCTGGCACCATGTGACACCTGCCAGCCTTTGCACCTGCCGCTTTCTTCAGAATGGCATCCTTCCCCCACCCCTCGTTCACTTGGTTAACGCCTGCTCACTTTTCAAGATTCCTCTGTTGTCACCTCCTTCAAGTCCTCCTCACCTTTGTCCTTAATGTTTCCTCCGCTAAACTCTGCCCTTTTTCTCTACTTCACTAAAACTTTGAGTTTACCTCTGCTGTAACACTCCTCACACCCTTGTAATTGTCTGTTTCCTTGCTGGACTATGAGCGCATTGTTTTTTCCCTTGTGCTTGCATATAGGTGCTCTGTAAAGGGTGACTGATGAGAGTCAGGGTTCTGCTAGGACTCAGGCCCAGTGCTCTCTGTCAGGCTATACTACCTGTTTTCTTGGAGAAGCCACTTCTCATCACACTTGGGCACCTTTGATGGGTCTTCAGTCTGTAAGCACCTGTGTATACAGAACCCTGTTCCAAGTTCTGGGACAGAAAAGAGCATAAATGGAGTAGAAGAGATCGTCCCCAATCTCCAGAAGCTCATCTGCTCTTAGATTAAGACAGTACAATGTAGAAAGGGGCTTGAGGGCCTTGCCTTGTAAGCCCTTCAGTATTTGGTGAAGGAATGAACACGTGAGCGAGTGAGGAAGGGGAGAATCCCATGACTCGAGGCTTTAAACAAGCGAAAGTGCTGAGTGGACAGAGTCCTCAGACTGGGCTGGGACTGGTCAGCAGAGGCTTTCTGCCGGCCCTGAGCTTTGAGCTGAGACTTGCAGGAAGCCATCTCTCCCTTCCCTGCCCTTCCCCTTGCCTCCCCCACTGCACAGCTGAAGAGCTTCGACCAGTTCATCTGCAACCTGCTGTATGTGAGCTGGAGGAAGGACCTCACCGAGCACCTCCATCGCCTCTACTTCCGGGGCCGCGTGTACTACACTCTCAACGTGCTGCGCGATGACATCGATAACCCGTAGGCGCACCCCTCAGTCCCTGCTATCCTCTGCGTGGCCCTATCCATCTGGCCCAGCCCTGGAGAGTCCCTGCGGCAGGCCCCACGGAGACCATCTCCAGTTACCTGCAGATATTGCTGTCCAGAGCCTGGACAGCAGTGGGGAGGGTGCTCCCGAGGACCGCTGGAGAGGCTGCAGGGCTGAGAATACGGAGCTAAAAAGAGGCCAGGAGCAGCTCCCTTTTGTCCATTTCGTACCGTGGGCTTCCAAATAAGGCACCCTCGGAAGAAAGTGGCCTTGCTAGAAAAGGCTAGAAAACTAGCTCTCAGATTTTCAGCAGTGAAAAATTACTGCTCTCCAGGGCTCAGTCTAGGATTGAGATCCCCATTTTATCACCTTCCAGCTTATAGCTCTTAAGTTCACTAAGTCCCAGGTTCCTATTCTGTAAGGGGGCAATAATAGTTCGTACCTCAAAGGGTGTAGTGAGGATGAACTGATATAATTTGTGTGCATGTGCCTGTGATGCACACATACGGTGCCTGGCGCAGAGCCAGTGGTCCAATGTCAGGTAGCTCTCGTTATCTTACAGGTGAAAACACTGAGGCTCAGCCTGCAAGTGACTCACCCAGGGTCACGTCTTTCATTGGGAGTAGGAGTCGGTGTGGCCCTGGTGGCGTGAAGGGACATATGGGGTCTCTCCTCATAGTCATTCTCTTCCCACTCACCACCCTCCCAAGTACACTGCTGCCTGGAGTAACTGTTCTTGAGCTGAGCTTTGCAGCAGAGATTCTTGGGAGGCTGCTGCTGCTGCTGCTTAACTTTCTCTCTTAGAGAGGCCTCTTTTCTGTGGCTCACCTTATACAAAGCTTCCGCAGCTAGATAGCTACGATGGGGGCCGGCTCAGGCTCATAAGAGAGATGGGAGGAGGGAAATCAATGGGTTAGCTTTTCTGGTCATTCAGAAACTCAGTTCATCCACCCTCAGTTTTTTTTTGGCTCCGCTCAGAGCTGGCTCAGGACCCCTGGTGCTGGACCTTTCAGTTGCTACTTTTTCTGAGGGGTAGATCGAGGCACCATAAGAACCCTGTTTAAAGGTCATAAGGGTCTCAGTGCCTCTAGGAAACCATCCCTTGTCTGGGTCCGTCTTCCCATGGTGTTGTTGCTGACAGCACTGAAAGGCAAGGTCAGAATAAGAGGTAACATGGAACTGTCTTAGCTCTCTCAGCCCTCAAAGCCAGCTCCCAGTCCAGTTACTGTGTCGTTGGCTGCAGGGACCAGCGCATCAGCCAGGACGTGGAGCGGTTCTGCCGGCAGCTCAGCAGCATGGCCAGCAAGCTGATCATCTCCCCCTTCACGCTCATCTACTATACCTATCAGTGCTTCCAAAGGTGAAGCCTCTCCTCTTCCCAGAGTCCGTCCCCCTCCCCCGGCCCTGTGGTTCCCTGGAGACCCCTCACTCACATGTTGGGCGAGAGTCAGCTCTCCCAGCTCAGGGTCCAAGAGAGGCTAGTCTTCCCTCCCTCCCACCTGCACCTCAGGAAGTCTTCTTATCTTGCACACTTGGGCCCCTGCCCTCCCTTTGGCCCTGTGGTGTTTCAGTGTCACAGGGATCCTGGTGCTCTGACAGCTTAGACCAGGTACCAGATGCCCACACGCAGGAGCAGAGGCCCCACAGGGCTCTGTGATTGGACAGGGGCTGCCCAAAAGCGGGCAGGAGTCAGGGCTGAGGCCTGCAGGGATATGTGGCTCCCCATACCCTCCCTCTCTCTGCCTTTCAGCACAAGCTGGCTCGGGCTGCAGGGATATGTGGCTCCCCATACCCTCCCTGTCTCTGCCTTTCAGCACAGGCTGGCTCGGGCCTGTGAGCATCTTTGGGTATTTCATCCTGGGAACGATGGTGAACAAAGTGTTGATGGGACCCATTGTGGCGAAGTTGGTGCAGCAGGAGAAGCTGGAGGGGGATTTCAGGTGTGTCTCTCTCGCTTGAGGTTTCTGGGCTGGGCTTAATGGTTATGGAATGGGATCTGGAGTAAGACTGCCCAAGTTCAAATCCCAGCTATGCCAGTTATTAGCCGTGTACTCTTGGATGAGGTCTTTAACCTCTCGAAACTTGAGTTTTCCTATCTCTAAAATGGGGATGGTACTGTTACCTATGGAGACGATTGTGAGGAGGATTAATGACATTATACGTGAGAAGCACTGGGAACTGTGTGTGGGCGGCCATCATCGTCATCATCCCTTGGCCCTCTCGCATGCTTCTGATCCATCCACCCTGATTTGGGTCAGCCGATGGATCCAGCCCCTACTCTGTGCTTCTTGGCCTCCTCTGTCAGGTCCAGCCCTGGCAGGAGGAGGTGCTGTGGGCAGGTAAGGGGCCGCCCTGTCTCCAGAGCTCCTGCCGCCCCACCCAGGCCCTGGGATTTCCCATCCCTGTGACAGTCCAGGGCAGGATTGGGCTGCCACAGCCAGTTTCAAAGTGCAGCCAGGCTCCTCTCCTGTCCAGGGATCTTCTTGATCCACAATTCCAAAAGGAGAGAGCCAGTATGCGCCTTGTCAGCACGCATTTCCCTTTGGTCTGCCCAGGTTCAAGCACGTGCAGATCCGGGTGAATGCTGAGCCTGCTGCTTTCTTCAGGTGAGTCAGGGGAATAGTTCCCCTTATGCCTTGTCAGAGCTGATAGTGGAGAAGGGAAGATGAATTGTACCACCCCCCACCAGCACCGAGCCCAGGGGCTGAGCATGTTCACACTAGACTGTTACCCCACCCCCTACCTCTCATCCTTAGGTCCAGGGGTTTGCTTCTGAAGCTGGTGGTTCATTTAAGTGGCCTAGCATGGGGCCTAAATTTGTTCTAAGAATGAAGTGAGTGAATGCTTCATCATCTTGCTGATGACTGTAAGGCATTGCCTCTGCCTCTCATTTTCTGCCAGCGCCTGACGTCCAAGGCTGACTGTTTGTCTCTGTAGCATGAGAGGGAACGGGAGCCTCTCAGGAGATTGGGAGACCTGCTCCCCAGACACTGTCCAAATGGAGCAAAGTGTCTGGTCTCCTGACAGCCGCGTTGTGAAATCCCATTCCTTCCCTCAGGCCAGGGCAGGTGCCTGTGCTCTGCCTCCCGTGTGGCCTCCGAGTCAGTGTGTGGACGGATAGTGCAGACCCCAGAGGTTGGTGTTTAGGGAGTGGAAGTTACTCCTTGATCACCTGGATCTAATAGCCCTGGGACCTTTGCTCCTCTGCCAGTCTCTGTTGCAGTTTGCAGCTTCCACCACTTGGGGGCACCACGAATACTAGGACTCTGTGAGCTGGAGTTTGGTTGGGTGGCGAGCAGGGCTGGGCCTGGGCTAAGTTGTTTTTGGATTCTGGGGCCTCTGCCCATGAAGCTCTGGGCTCTGGGGAAGCACGTTGGTTCTAGGAGCTCCGGATGGGTTCTTCTGTGGCCTTTGTCCTGCTCTAAACAAAGTCTGAAATGCCCCCTCTGTACTTTCTCCACCTTTTCTGCCTGGAGAATTTCTGCCCGTCCTTGACCCCCAAGTTGCCTCCTCTGGGGAGCCTTCCCAGACTCCCTTAGTGGTCAAGCCTGTTTGTTGCCATAGCCCTGAAGATATACTGCTTATGTCACACTTTCCAAGTTCTAGTGCATCTGCCTGCACCCCAGACTGGGAGCTCCTCAAGGACAGGGACTGTTCAGCCACCTCTTTGTCTCACTGGCTAACTAGCGCAGAGCCTGCCGCATTGCGACTGCTCCGTGTAGATTTGTTCAATAATTGCAGCTATTATTGATTGAGGGCCCTTCCATGTGCCTGGCACTTTATATTCAGAAATTCTCCCTCTAGGCTATTACGGCTATTACATAGGTATTATAAGCTCCATTTTACAGCTGGGGAAACTGCGACTCGGAGGCGTAAGTAACCTGTCAGCGTCACCCAGCTAGTAACTGGCCAGAGCCAGGATTTGAATCAGGTCTGCCCAATCTGGGTTCATGTTCTTTCCGCAGACAATACCACGTTGAATGAATGAAGCAATGACTGGGTGCTAGTGGCAGAAAGGGTCTGAGGAGAAGATTATTTGGATGGAGTTGGTCCCTAAAGGAGGGTGTGATGAGGGACAGAGGGCCCCCCAGCCTGGCTGAGGCTCTCCAGGCCCCATGAACATCCCAGCCTTTCTCGTCAGAGCTGGGCATGTGGAGCACATGAGGACAAACCGCAGGCTGCAGAGACTCCTTCAGACCCAGAGGGAGCTGATGTCCAAGGAGCTCTGGCTGTACAGTAGGTGGAGGGAGCCCCAGGAGTGGGATAGTCCCCTAACCTCCCCACTTCTCTCTGTGCTAATAAGTTTGCTCTGATGAAGGAATTAACCACTGGGAACCACTGCCTTTGCTGTACGTGTCCTCAGGAGAATGAGGATCCAGGGAATAGCTTGGCCCTGCTTGGCGTCCTGCTCCTCTCAGAGCACATAAATGTTCCCGGGTCTCTTATGCAGTCTGTCTCCTACAGTTGGCGTCAACACGTTTGACTATCTGGGCAGCATCCTGAGTTATGTCGTGATCGCCATCCCCATTTTCAGTGGCGTCTACGGAGACCTGAGCCCCACAGAGCTCAGCACCCTGGTCAGCAAGGTGAAAATCCCTCCTGGTGACCCCTCATGCCGTCCACTCCACCCCTTGTCCTAGCACCCAGGGCCTCGAGTCGAGGCCTGCGCTCACTGCTTTCTGTCCTGTCCAGAATGCCTTTGTGTGTATTTACCTCATCAGCTGCTTCACCCGGCTCATCGACCTCTCCACCACACTCTCAGATGTGGCTGGTTACACACACAGGTGAGGCTGCATCCGGCCCCTCTCTAGTTCCTGAGCAAAATGTGTGCCGCTGGGAGAAGTAGCTGAATGAAAAAAGGAACAGAAAAACTCACATATACTAGTGGGTGTGGGAGAGGAAAAGGAGTAATGCCTTCGCCCGGGCCCCCAGACCCTCCTCAGGTTTTTACTTCTTGCCCAGGATCGGGGAGCTTCAGGAGGCCCTGCTGGACATGTCCCTGAAGTTGCAGGACAGTGAGATTCTGGACGAGAGCGAGTGGGACTTGGACAGGTGAGCACTGGGCTGGCAGAGTTGTGCAGGGCTTGAGAATACAGGCTCCGGAACCGTCCGGCGTGGGTTTACCCTGGAGCCCTGCCCCTCCCCAGCTGGGCAGCAGAGTTGTGCGGAGCAAATGAATGACCTCCGTGTCTTGGCCAGGCACATTATAAATGCTTACAATCAAAATTGTAGTTTTGGCATTCATTGCATTAATTTATACCATCCTCCAGCTGCTAGAAGCAAAGTACATACACCTGCCTGGGCCTGAGATAACAAAACAAAAATCTGAATGGTATTCCTCCTCTTTGATTTTCCCCTCCTCCTCCCTCTGAGCCCTGCTGCCTTCGGCTTTCCTCAGGGCACGTCTAGTCTCTGTTCCCCAGGCCTCACTGAGACCCAGAGACGTCTTTATTCGTGTATCTTTGCAGGCTCTGTGATGTTTCTGACTTTCTATATATTGAGGATTTGTTTCACATCCTCACTTTTCTTGGGCAAATTACTGAACTGTTCTGTGTCTCAGTTTCTTCATCTCTATAAAGGGGACATTAATGGAACCGTCCTCTTAGGGTTGTTCTGAGGATTAGATATCATAGTTCATGGAAAGTGCTTGAACAGTGGCCACAGAGTAAGCTTTCAAAAATGGAAACAGTCTGAATTCCAGGGCCTACACTCACCTCTCTTCTTAGGAACTAATGCCTGAACTGTTACCCCTGTTCAAAATTAAAACTTCATGCAACTGAGCCCAGAGGCCAGGGTGGTTGTACAGGGACTACAGGAAACCAGAGTTGCTGTGGAGAGCCAGAAACTCCAAAACTGTGTAGCGTTACTACTCCCATTCTTATCATCAGTCCACGAGTCACACTGTGATGCCATGAAAACCCACCAACGTTAGAATTAGACAGATTCAGCTCGTGACCCTGAGGAAGTTACTCACCTGCCAAGTGGGGATGATATCTGTGATTCATAGGTGTTAAGACTGATGAAGATCAGTCGTGTGGGGGGCTTTGCCCAGCCTGGCACAAAGTAGGTGGCCCCAACTCCACCTCTGTGTTAGTCTGCTAGGGCTGCCATAGCAAAATACCACAGACTGGATGGCTTAAACAACAATTTACTTTCTCACAGTTCTGACAGTCTAGAAGTCCAAGGTCAGGGTGTAGGCAGGGTTGGTTTCTCCTGAGGCCTCTCTTCTTGGCTTATGGATGGCTGTGTTTTCGCTGTGTCCTTACATGGCCTTTTCTCTTAATGCAAACTCCTGGGGTCTCTCCCTCTTCTTAAAAGAACACCAGTGATATTGGACTAGGGCCCCACCCTAATGGCCTCATTTTAACATAGTCACCTCTTTAAAGACCTTATCTCGAAATGTGGTTACATTCTGAGGTACTAGGGGTTAGGACTTCAACATGATTTTGAGGGCACAGTTCAGCCCATAACAACCCCTCAGTCCAGGGGTGATGCCCCCAAGGAGAAGAACCTCCCCCCTGGCAATACTGACGCTGCTTATCTTCCCCACACCCCTCCCCTCCCTGCCCCCAGGGCCCCGGCATGGCCAGTAGCAGAGCCAACAGACACAGCTTTTCTCCTTGAACGGGTCTCCATCTCTGCCCCCTCCTCTAACAAACCCTTGATCAAGGATCTGAGCCTGAAGATCTCTGAGGGGCAGAGTCTGCTCATCACGGGCAACACGGGCACCGGCAAGACCTCACTGCTGCGGGTTCTGGGTGGCCTCTGGGCGAGCACTCGGGGTAAGAACCAGCCCTCCCTGCCTCTGGGCCAGCCAGGCTGGCGTGCGGGCATGTGCGTGTGCATGTGAGAGTGTGAGATTCCAGCCGCCTTTGTTGGAGAAAGGGAATGAGAGGCAGTTCCCTTCTCTGGAGATCTCAAAATGGAGGTTTCTGTGGGCTCCGCAGGCTCGGTGCAGATGCTTACGGACTTTGGACCCCATGGGGTATTGTTCCTGCCACAAAAGCCATTCTTCACTGACGGGACCCTCCGGGAGCAGGTCAGCTTGGGACCCACTGCTCCCACCGACCCCCCAAACTAGGACCGCTGGCAGTGAGACAGGTCTCAGCCCTAGAGAGTTATGGGGCAGAAGGTGGGGTGATATAATGACCTGTGCCCAGGCACTCCCTGGCTCTAAGAACATTTTCTTCACATCCGTGGATCAGGCTATGTACTCAGAGCAACTTCTGGGCAGGTTAACTTGTGGGATTCACAGCCAAAGATCACGTGCGTTTGTTGAACACCAAGGTTGGATTCAGGGGGCCATGCCCTCAGGAGGCTCACAGTCTCTCTTCCCCCAGACACACGTCTGAAGGTTGCAGTGACCCTGCCCCGCTGTCTGCAGGCCCAGCCTCTCCCACTGGACCCTCGGCCAGGGTGTTCCCTACTCTCCTTCAGTGGAGAGGAGCCTGGCCTCTAGGGTTCCTGGGCTATTTCTGAGGGAGGGTGGGCTGTGTATAGCCCCATCTCTCATTGGCCCTGGTCCTCGGCCCGTGTGGTTTTTATTTTATCAGGTGATATATCCCCTGAAGGAGATCTACCCAGACTCAGGTGAGTGGGGCCTCCTCGGGGCGTGTCCTCCCATCTCAGTTGTCCCAGCTCTGCCTGACTGTGGCCTCAGCTGTGCCTTTTGGGAGAGGCCCCAGCCAGGCTACCGGTTTCAGGTTGGGTCCCCTCCTCCTTCGACTGTTTACTATTTTAGGATCTGTACCCTGACCCCGTCTTGTTCTGCCGTCCCCTCCTTGGGATGAGACACCCACTGGAGGAAGGGAAAGATTACTTCTTTCACGTGGCCCTTCCCTTATTAATTAAGTGCTGTAACCTGTCACTTCAGAACCTTAGCCCAGATTCTGGGGCCCCCACCCCAGGCCCCTGCTGTGATGTGCCCATCTATTATGGCTATCCAGAAGGAGCTGACTTCACAAAGAAGGCGTCTCTGTTTTCCAGGTTCTACTGATGATGAGAGGATCATGAGGTTCTTGGAGTTGGCAGGCCTGGTAAGTGAGGGCAAGGACCCTGAGGTCTAAGCCTACCAGGTAGCACTGACCACAAGTGCTGGCCCAGCGTAGCCGGCCCTACTGTGCCTGAGCCCAGGACTGGGGAGTGGGAGTGTAAAGTGGCAGTGGGAGCCGTTGGCCAGGTACGGATGACAGAGGGGTGCACTCTCTGCGGCGAATTTTAAAACAGTAATAAAACTGAGTCAGTCTGCTTTTTCTTGTCACCATGCTCCAGCAAATCTAAACAGTGTAGTTGATAGGATACTCCTCTCTGCCTGGGCAGATTTCTCCCACAGCCCTCCACTTGCTACCCCTCCACCCTCGCCACTGGGGTGGAGCTCTGTCTCGGAGGTGTGTGTGTGGTGGGGACTGAGGAGGTTCCTCAGGATGGCAGGAAGCAGGGATGGGCCCTTTCATGGACATCATTCTCTCTGTGTGTGTTACAGTCCAGCTTGGTGGCAAGGACAGAGGGTCTGGACCAGCAGGTCGATTGGAACTGGTAAGAAGGGAGTGGGGGTGCTCCAGAGCCAGCTCCCCCAAAGACATTGTGTTCCCGGGGTCCGGTCCACGGATGGAGTGGCTCGTGACCCCAAATTCCAGGGGTTTGCTGGCCCATCGGAGGCATCTTTCGTGCCCTTGGGAGCAGAGTTTCGGCCTCACCTTGTGTGGGCGGTGGGGCAGTAGTGGAAAGGGGAGTGATGTCCGTCTGTTCTGGGGCCAGCCTCTCTGCAGTGAGAACCTCTTTCTGCCCAGACCCATTCTAGGCAAAAGCCAGGCTACATTCTCCTTCCTCCAGCGGTTCTTTCACTCCCTTTCCTCAGGTATGATGTTCTGTCCCCGGGGGAGATGCAGAGGCTCTCCTTTGCCCGACTCTTCTACCTGCAGCCGAAGTACGCAGGTGAGGTTCGGTGCGCACACCAGGTACCGTGTGTGCTCACAGGTGTGGCAGCGTGTGTTCATGTACATCTGGGGTGGCATTCGTGTGGGTAGGAGAGCACACCTGTGCGTGGCTGGGCATCTCTGTCCCTGCAGGAGAGGACAGCAGGGCTCTGCCCATGAGGGAGCGATGCTTGGCATCCTCAGAGCAGCCCTGGATATGTTATACTGCCGATTCCTAAGCTTTCTGCCGTTGGAGCAGCTGGAGCCAGCCTTGAGAGGGCTTGTGATTTTGTGCTCCTCAGGCTCTGCCATCAGTGAATGGGCATCCCTGCAGCTGTGCCTGGCAGAGGGCGGGCAGGTGTGGATTTTCCAAGGACTGACATCCTTGGGGGAACTAGGATTCCCTGGATTGAGTGGTCCTAGGCAGGGCTGGTGCTTATCTGCAGGAAGCTGAGGGGTTTTGTCCTGCTGCTGGCAGAAGGCTTCCAGATGGAGCCTAGCCCTCTGCTCCTTTGGCCCCTTGTCTCCCTAAGGCAGGGCTCCTGTAAGCCAGAGCAGCCTTCAGCTTCCCCCTCAGTCCTAGCTGGAGGTGAGTGTGGGTTGGAGGAGAAGCAGAGGTGGGCCAGAGGCAGGATTTGATCTCTTCCCACCGGGTTCTGCCCTCAGTACTTGATGAAGCCACCAGTGCCCTGACTGAGGAGGTGGAGAGCGAGCTCTACCGCATCGGCCAGCAGCTGGGCATGACCTTCATCAGCGTGGGACATCGGCAGAGCCTTGAGAAGGTACCCGTGCTCACGAGGGTGGAGGAGGAGGAACCCAAAGGCTGGGCCTGGCCAGGGCCAGAGGCCCCTCAAAGTGGAAAGTGGGGGTGGCAGAGAGGGAATGGGCTCAGTGGCCTCCTATTGTCGTGACCAGAGCAGCCTGATCTCTGTGTGGTGGTGGTCTCTTGTAGTTTCACTCCTTGGTTCTGAAACTCTTTGGAGAAGGAAGATGGGAACTGACCAGAATCAAAGTGGAATGAAGCCCAGGATGTGGCTGGCCACCAGAAGGAGAGCCAAGCTTGGGGCAGGTCGTTAGTCTCCAGGAGAGACCAAGAGAACTGACGGGCAAGGAATGAGCCCCAGGTTCACCTCACAGGTCCTCTGTGGGGAGCGCTGGCAGCAGGAGGCTTCACCCAGGAGTGGCCCTCCGTGGGGCACTCAGTCCTGTCAGAGCTCCCCTGCCACCTCAGCCAGAGCTCCATACGTGTGAAGTGCTGATTCCTTACAAATTACCTCAGATCGTGTTTTCTAAAGAAAAACCTGAAAGTGTGGGATCTATAAGGAATGCAGAGTGAAAGTAGAGAGAGTATTGTACTTGGAGTTAAGAGATCCAGAAGTCTTTTAAATCAAAACTTTTAGGTTTTGCAACAATAGATGTTTAATTTTAATCAACTATTTAGATTTTATAACTTTTTAAAAAAGAAAAGATAAACATTAAAGAAAAATTTTGGAGCCAGCCGTGACGACCTAGTGGTTAAGGTTCGGTGTTCTCACCGCTTCGGCAGCCCGGATTCATTTCTTGGTGGCAGAACCACACCATCCATCTGTCAGTAGCCATGCTGTGGCGGCAGATCACATAGAAGAACTAGAAGGACTTACAGGTAGATATACAACCATGCATTGGGGCTTTGAGGAGGGGGAAAAAAAGAGGAAGATTGGCAATGGATGTTAGCTCAGGGCCAATCTTTCCCTGCAAAAAAAAAAAAAATTTGCAGCTTTCCCCCTTTCTCTTTCTTCTCCATTATAAGATGATCTTTTTAATTGAATCTCCAGATCTGTATTCGAGAGCCTGGAGGGCAGGGAGCAGCACTCTCTGCTGTGCTGGAATCTTCTGCTTACGGGTTTTCCCTTCACAGGTGCCCCTTTCCATTTGCCTGTTGTACCTAAGCCATTAACCTCTAAAGCCCTTTTCTTTTTCTTGTCTTAGTCCAGGTGAAAATAAATCCCTTTCCCTTCAGTCAGCTAAAATAAGGTTGAGATTTTTCCAAATTAATCTTTATTAGGGAACAACAGCAGCAGGTTGAACAGACAAAACCCAGACAGCACAGGAGCATGAGATGAAAAGTTACTGAGCCCAAAGTGCTTACTCTAGAACAATTCTCCCCAAAGTTCAGTTGTCAGCCTATCACCCTCATGATGTTTTCCAGATCCCTGTACTTCTTGTACTGTTAATTATATAATATTTTTAAAATTAACTCACTTTTTAAATTTAAATGCACTTTTAAAAGAAAGTTTACACCTGATGTAAATAGAAAGTGACTGTAAAAATGAATACAGAGAGTGTTATGAAACTGCAGCTCAATACTGTGGCCTGCAAAGACTCTGAGCCCGAGGCTTGCTGTGTTTGTACAAAGGGAGGTTAAGGGATGTTGTAGAGGAGTTAGACATACCAGCACCCAAATGAGAATTTTCTCCTTAGTGAGGTGAGAAAGATGGAATGAGAACTGCAAGGGAAAAAACTTGCTCACTATAAGACTTGACGTTATTTAATGCCTTCTTGGTACCACTGAATGTGATCCCAGATGTGGAGTGGGAGTCCCAGACTTGAGGAAATGCTGCCTGGGTGACTGAAGTCTCGCCCCACCTGGCTTGGCTGGCATGTGGGCCTCAAGCCTGTTCTTACTCAGCTCCGCCCTATAGGGGTGCTAAAGCAGTGTGGCCAGGTGCCCAGCTGAGAGCTCAGGGGGGCACCTGACCAGATCTAATGATGTGTCCAGTCCCCTGTAAAGCCTCCTTAGGGACCTACAGGATGTCAGCACTGGGAAGTCCTGTGGCAGCCCTTCAGCCAGTGTTGAACCCTCTCACAGCACTGAAAGGGACCTGTCGAGGTTGACATCTGCTTCAGGAGCCTTCCCATAGTGGAATCTCCCAACCATATCCTGCCAAGTGGTATGGCCTCTGTTCAAACACCTCTAGCACTGGGACCACCCATCCTCAGACCCCTCTCACTGAAGAGGGCTCTTCCTTAGGTTAAGGGGAAACCTGTCTCCCACCTCTTGGGCATGTGTCTGTTAAACTGTGGGGTCCAGGTGTGGAAGGACACCCTCTCTAGTTTAATTCCTGTACTTCTATCAGTGTAGCTGACGCTCCCCCCCAGACTTTGGTGACAGCATTGCCTCATTGACTTGCTTCATCCTTACCAGCCCTTTCAACTCCTGAGCCTTTTTCACAAGTGCTGCCACTGCTAGCGGATTATTTTAGAGACCAAGTTCATGCCTGACTCAGTGTCTTTGCACTTGCTATTTCCTCTGCCTTGAACATGTTCCAAGTGCTGTTTCTGTTCCTAACACTCAGCGATCTCCTTTGCAGAAATCCTGCCAAGAGAAAACTGTTCTTAGGGGCAAACTCCACCTTTGTCCATCACTCATCTCAAAGGCTACTGAGAGGTTAGAGGAATTGATACAAACCTGCATGAAGAAAAGTGAGGTTATGTGTCCTTAGTATAGGACAAAGACGAAAATGTTTATTTTAAATGTTTTAAAATCAGCCAGGCAAAAATTTCCCAAACTTAAGTTCCATTCTGCCACCCAGGGATCTACACAGACCCAGGTGGATGATCCTTACGTCCCTCTCATTACTCTTCTGAGGAGTCCTGGGGCTGGGGGACAGGGCAGAAAAGCCACCTTTTGTCATCTCCGTCAAATGCTTACCGTACCAACGTGTGTATCTCAAAGGCACCTCAAACCCAGCATGTCCAAAACGAAACTTAGGATCTCTCCCAAAAGCTTTTTCCAGGGAGTCTGAAGGTGAGTGGCTCCACTCTCCATCTAGCTGCATGAGCCAGAAATCTAGAGTCATCCTTGATGCTCCCCCTTAGTCCCTATTCAACCCATCACCAAGTCCTCTCCGTTTTCCCCTGTGAATACATTTTCCATCCATCCACTTCTCTCCACCTGCTTGAATCCTACCTAGAAGGAGCTCAGGGGGGAGGTAGATCAAAGCACAAGGAGAATCCAGAAACAGGAGACTGGGTGGCAGCTGGACTCGGAAGAAAGAAGAGTTAGGAGGCAATCTAAGCCCCATCATTTGGGGAATGTTAAGAAACTTGGGGTGTAGCCATTCTACAGACTATAATGCAGCTATCAAAAATAAAGGAACTTCAGTTATCAAATACTTAACTGAACGCCTACCACGTGTGAGGCACTAGTCTAGATTCCAGGGTTACAGTGGGGAACAAGGAGGACCTGGTGCCTTCCCTCCTGGAGCTTACATTGAAGTGGATCTGAAGACCATAAACCAACAGGAAAATGCTTCCAGTTTAACATCAAGTGGAAAACATTTACAAAATTGTACATGTGCCATCATACTGTAGAAAGTTCTCGAGCTGCCTCTGGAATTCAGCCATTCTGACACTCCCCAAAATACCAAATACAAAACCATGGAAGAATATAATAGAATTTCGCCAAAGGGTTCATGAGGCTCTGTGGAATTAAATTGCCCACTGCAAAACAAAACATCTTTAAAATCCCTGTTATCTCTCCTTCCACCCCCGCCACTAAAGTTTCACTCCTTACACAGCTGCCTGTCTTCCCTTTCCTCCATATGTCCCCTTCAGCCTCTGTAAGCTCCTTGGATACTCTTCTCTGCCCCCTACCCCAAAGGATTTGGGTCTGGGGGGAGACAACTGGATTCCAGTACAAACTATCTCAAGGAGAACCAAGGTGAGTGGAAGTGGCCTTAGCTTTTGAATAAAAATCTGTGAATGCAACATCTACAGGGCGAGCACCACTGACATGGAAGTTCTCATTAATATCTGCCATTCTGTGAGGGCCTCGAACACAGTCAGCACTTCCTAGACATTTTCTCATTTGCTTCTCGCTGCAGACCCAGCAGGGAGAAAGGCTACAGGGCTTGGGCTATAGCTGATGGCCCACCCTGCCAGAGGTGGGGTCTTTCAGTCCTTGTAAAACAAAATACCCCTGGACCAAGCCTGGGAGTTCTGCTGGATGTGGAAGAAGGATGGGGGCTGAGGAAGTTGAGTTGGTGACCTGGCCACAGGGACCAGGCCAGTTGGGAAGTGAGAGAAGGCGGGAGAGGCTGTGGACAGAGGAATGAGGGAGGGAGAAAGATGCTTCTCATGGCAGAGGATAAGGAACCCCCGAGAGACTCAAGTTAGCCACCTCAGTCATTTTGAGCGTGGCAGGGACTGGTAGATAACTTGTCTTTGTTCCTGACACAGGCCACAAGGAGCTATGTCCAAAACAAAGCTGGGCTTGTCACCCAGGAAGACAGAAGAGCAGTGCCAGCTGCCCTCTGTAAAGACTGCCTTTCCAGAAACATCCTGTTGGTGCCAACAGCTCCTGACTAATGCCCCATCTAGGTGTTGGGATGAAGGGTGGTCCTGGGCCAAGCCCCGGAGAAGGGAGGACCCTCTGGAGGCACAGGGAGTTGTCAAGAGAATCATTACCTGGAGAAGAAGTCAGCTGAGAGGAAGCCCAGGACCCTTTGTGGTAGGCTGCAGAAACCATCCCCGCAGTGGGTAGGGTGAAGCGTGGACAGGCTGTAGCCCTGGGCATCAGGCAGGGGATGTGTGCTGGGGAATGCTGACCTCAAGCCTCCAGCAGAGTGAGGCTGGCCACAGTGGGCCAGTGGATTTGCCCATCTGTAGGTAGTTAAGGGTTCTGAGGGTCAGACGCCTCTGGGGTAAGGTTTCCCTGGGAAAGTCTAAGGGCAGGGAGACTTTTTCCTAGCTTTAGATCAGCCTCTGTGTCCAGGCCAAGAACTGCCAGACCACAAGGGGTGAAGGGGAAACAAAAGGCGAATTCTAGCATCCTGGACTGAGGAAGAGGTTCGTGGCTTGTGCAGAGCTTCAGGAGCCTGAGGGAAGCCCAGCTCCTGCCACATTCTCCTAAGAACCTGTGAGGAAGATGCTTCCTTTTCACCCCAGTTGAGGAGTCTGAGCTCCAGGACCTGAAATGACTTGCTTAGGAATCTCAAGTTCAAAGCAGAACTCCTGAGCTCCTGCACCGCCCCTACCTGCTGTGTTCATCTGGCCCATCTCAGGGAATGGGGCTTCCACTGTCCACCTGGAGCCCAGGCCAGAGACCTGAGACCCTCAGAACTTCCTTCTCCACATGCAATCCATCACTAAGTCCTGTGGATTCTGCTTCCAAAATACGTCTGAAGTTGACCCCTATTCTCTCTTAAGATCACCACGAAGCCCTCCTGGAGAACTGTGGCAGCCTCATCCCTGGTGCCCCCACCTCTTCTCCCATCCACTGCAAAGCAGCCTGAGGAGACTTAAAAATGCAAATTAGCTGCTCACTGCACTCAAGTCCAGAATACCTACTGGGGCCTGCAAGGCCTCACTCAGCCTCATCTCCCATCCCTCTTCTCAGGCCCATTGACCTTCTGCCTTCAGGAATGAACCAAGTTGATCCCACTAAGAGCCATGCTCCCCGTGTGCTCCTGAAAGCACACAAGAAGAAG